GAAGTGGAGAAATAACTTGGCAAGATGATTAAGACACTTCAATCTGATCGATGTGGCGACTATCTGAGTTAGGAGTTTCAAGATTATCTAAGACACATCATAATGGTGTGTCTGAGAGTAGCAACCGAACCTTTCTTGACATGTTACGTTCTATGATGAGTGGTACGAAACTCCCAAAATTATTTTGGGGATTTGCCCTTCAAACGGCGTTACACCTTATTAGTAGGTTTCGTCGAAATTTGTTAAGTCTACTTCGTAAGAACCAGTATCATTAAACAGAGATTTTAAAAATTAAACAATAATTAAAAGAGGATTATTAGATGTAAAATCTAATTAAGTTAAATTAAATCATTATTTTACCCTAGTAAATTGACTGATTTACCAGAGTAAATGAACAACAGCGAACCTAGTTTAGTAAAATTGAGATATCTCAAGCTAGAGAGCTCCCAGATGAGTAAGGTTTGGACCTATGTGAAGTTATGGGTGTAAGCCATTACTGAAAAGTGGAAACCTTGAGAAACCTAGAGAGAGCTAAAGACCACCAAATCACTTTGTTCTAAAGGCAAAAGTGTGTCAAAACTCCCCTTACAAAATCCATTGCAAATTGGTCATCTCTAGCTCTCTCTAGGTTTCTCAAGGTTTCCTCTCTTCAACAAGTGCTTCTATCCCTTTCCTTGAAGAAGACAAGTCGATGGTGGTGGGAAAATGAAGAAAAATAAGTGTGTGTTTAGTCACTTATGTTTCTACTTACTTGGTCAATACACTAAACATGGTAACTTTCTATTTTACCTTTCTTTCTTGCTTACTCTAGCCAAATGACTTAGGATTTTTAAATATGTGTTCTAACATCATAAACATCATAAATTACTCTCTCACGAAATTATTCACAAGCTTGGGGTATTTTTACGCAATTTGCATTTCTACAACAAAACTTACTGTGATTGCACTTTTAGTTGAAAAAGTGACTTACTTGTAATAAATTAGATTTTTGTATTTAATTTAAATCTGATAATTAGATTTCCAATCTAATTATTTATCTGATAAGTTATAGCAAATTCCAATTTACTTATTTTACTGATATGGGTTATTATAGAATACTTCTCAAGCTTCAAAGGAACCAAACACTCTCCTAATCACCAAGAACATCGATAAATGGCGCCAACCAAGAGAGGAAATTTTCTCTCAACTCAATGCTTCTGAAGCATGTTTTTTTGGTGGCTTCTAATCCTAAGGAAATTTTAAACAACTTTCACGAAGATCACAAAGTGATTTTGATGGCTAATTCTCAAGTTAGTTTTTCAAGCCTTCCAAGCTTCAAAAATGGCACTCCACAATTTAGCAAGGAAGAAGAGTTGAAGGAAATGAAGCTTAGCGTGAAAATTAGGTCACTTAAATCATTTAATCACTTGGTTGACTTTGGTCAACATTTCACACATGGTCAATTACCGTTATATCATTCTTCACTAATCCAGGACTTAATCATCTAACGTGAATTTTAACATTCACCATAACCATTTATTAGTTTCTCACTAGATTATTTTCATGTTTCAGGTAACTTTTGCATAATTGCATTTTTACTCCAAGAGTTTCATTATTTATACTTTTGTCCAAAAGTGACTTTATTTCACATAATTAGACCTTTTATCTAATTATTCTCTCTTATTCTTGATTAAATTCTTAATCAACTTACAAATTCGTAATTTATATGTTAAGGTTATTATAAAAGGGGTCGAAAAACCTTTCTTGTAAAGTTGGCCATTGATAATGATATAGTTAAGCACTTACATCAAACATAAAACTAACTCGATTTACATATAGTAACTTAGGCCAAAAATAAAATTAGATTAACTACTTGTGCTATGCATGTATGGCTTGAAAAAATTAGTTTAATCATATGTTATGTAACTTGATTAAACAAAATATACTTGTTAATTACTTAATTATAGATTAAGCTCACACGAATAAATTAATTTACAACCTCCAAGGGTAGTTCAGTTGGCAGCTGAGCTTCCAATGATTTGCTTGAGTCAGGGGTTCAAACCCTTTCCTAAGCAAATTCTTGAAAAATCTTTGGGGGCCAGAGGACGTCCCTCTGTCTTCGAAGGGGGGATTAATCTCATCCTTTCTCCGGTAGCGAAGCTCAATGCACCCGTTATTCTAATGAGGGGGTAGCCTTCGGGCCGTACTCCGAGGACAAGGTGACCGGAGAAGGCTGAATGGGGATACCTTCCAGATTATACCAAAAAAAATAAAAAATAAAAAATAAAAAAATTAATTTACCAAAAATCAATCCTATGAAAAAAAAAGTCAATTAACCGGTTAGACTTTAAAAACTTAGAATGGTTCTTCAAAGAATTACATCAACCATTTCTTTTAAAAAATTAAATCTAATTGCATTAAATTACTTGATTATATACATTTTTCACACATTTGAGAATCATATAATTATTAACCGCATTAAATTACTTAAATTTATTAAACAATCACATTTTTATATTAAATTACTTCCTGTTAATAGTCAATTTATGATCACATTATGAAAATTCAATGAGGATTAATTACTTGTAAAATAAAGAGGCTTGTATTAATGTTATAAAAACTAAACCGGACTAGCCAGTTCAACTGGTTCAATAAAAAATCAGACCACCTACCGATCGGATCTAGCCAATGAGTCGTTTATACAATTGAACAAGTATCAAACCCGTATTAAATTGGGCTTTACAATTATACCAATTTTTGAAATTTTGTACAAAATATTTGAACACTAGTGGGATTTGAACATGTATCAGATAAAGAATATAAGTGACCTCAACCACTCTGCCACATGTGTATGTTATTTTTTTTATTTTTTTTATTTTTGTAATACATGTGTATGTTATTTTGCTAGTACTATACAAACTTTTGTAAAAATCCATTTCAACCAGTTCGATTAATGACTCTCACTGATTGATTTAGTAACTTATTAACCAGGTATAATAACATTAGTTTGTAGGATTCAAAGAATAACATCAAATTACTTTGATTTTATTCATATTAAGCATTATGATGAATCACATAGCAGAGAATTTTGATATGATGAATTAATTACATTGAGTGAATTAATGATCAACAGAGTTTTTGTTTATATAAGCGAATATAATCTGAATTACGTGGGAAAGTGTGATTATAATGCTACCAATAATAGACACATCAGGGGTCCACCGTTCTTTGAAACACACTTGTATTAAAGTGTTTCTTTTTTCTTTTTCTTTTTTGGATAACAAGGTATGGTAAAAAAGAAAACCAAAACCAAAAACAACACGCTTGTATTAAAGTGTTTCTATTCTGAGTCAAGCACATACGCTGCCATTCCATTCCCTATTACATCTCGTGACATTGAAGTGTTTCTGCTGGATCCGAATCAAGTTACAACAGAAGAAATAAATAAGCTGGCCCGTAATGATAGACTATATGGCCAAATTTTTTGATAAAAAATAAAAAAAAAATCCTGGTCAATAATAGAACGCTTTGAGTCATAAACTCATAATCATTTTGTCAATAATGTGGCAATTACTGTCAGGATGTTTATCAAAGTGGACATTTACTGTGAGGATGTCCCACCTAACCCCCCCTTGAATGTTCTTCGCATTTAACTTTTACATTGAATACATCATATTATTTGGATCATGATATGCATTCCCCGCCACCGCCAAAGAATTATCCCTAGAAAATTCCTCAAGCTAAAATGCACTTTCTTGACTTTACATATGCCCCTACACTCTAATTATTTTTCATTCTGGATATATATATATATATATATATATATATATATATATATATATATATATATATATATATATATATATATATATATATATATATATATGGGACATGATCCGTTTACAATTTTTTTTTGCAATTACACTAATGTAGGACCGGTCATACACTGTGTGATTAATGTAGGTCCTACATAGTGTAGTTAGTAAGAGTTTGTAAACAAAAAAATTTGTAAATATAACTTGCATATATATATATATAGATAGGATCTGTTTACAAATTTTTTTACAAATTACACTAAGTACGACCGGTCGTACACTACATGATTAAAGTATGACCGTCATACTTAGTGTAGTTTGTAAGAGTTTGTAAATATAACCTGCCCTATATATATATATATATATATATATATATATATAGGAGTAAACATTTCTGCAGCCACTTTAGCTTATCTACAACTACTCTTTATAACTATGTTCTCCCTAGAGAACATGGTTCTAATATTAAAAGTTGTTTTTTTCTCTCTTCCCGTTTACTTTTCAGAACCTGTCTACTGACGACGGGGGAGAGAGAGAAAAATTAACTTTAATGTTATAACTATATTTTTTCGGGAGAACATATTTATAAATGGATAGCGGTAGATAAGTTTATCTAAAGTGGCTGCAGAAATATTTTTTCCATATATATATATATATATATATATAGAGGATCAACTTACACCGGTGTAAGAATAATAAATCTTACACCAAATCTTAACCGTTGATTTCTGTGCATCCAATGGTTGAGACCTAATAAATCTTAACCGTTAGATGTAGAAAATCAATGATTAAGATTTGGTGTAAGATTTATTATTCTTACACTGGTGTAAGATGATCCTGCCCCATATATATATATATATATATATATATATATATATTATATATTATATATATATATAGAGGTAGGATCCTTTGACACCAGTGTCAAATTTGAATTTTGACACCTCATCTAGGAGCCATTAGATAAAAAAAGATCAATGGTGTCACATGCTTACAAATCAGAGTTGTTGATTTTTTTTTTCAAACGGTTATCAGATGAGGTGTCAAAATTCAAATTTGACACCGATGTCAAAGATCCTACCTCATATATATATATATATATATATATATATATATATATATATATATATATATATATATATATATATATATGCATTAACACATCCGAGTCGCAGCCCACAGGTCTGCAAAGCTCTTTCTTGCACAATGGTGTCATTTCTGCACTTGCTTCTAGCTCTTCCTCTGTTGGTATGGATCCTTTTGCAGTTATACAAAACCATTAAGAACCCATCAACCCGTCCACCAGGTCCAAAAGGCCTTCCCATCATTGGCAATCTTCATCAACTTGATAGTTCAAATCTCCATTTTCAACTATGGAAGCTCTCAAAGATCTATGGTTCCCTTTTTTCCTTGCAAATTGGCTTTAAGCAAGCCATTGTTATTTCCACACCTAAACTAGCAAAAGAGGTCCTCAAAGACCATGATCATGATGTATGTAGTAGACCTCCCTCCACTGGCCCACAAAAATTGTCTTACAATGGTTTAGAGATGATATTTTCCCCTTATAATGAATGCTGGAGAGAAATCAGGAAAATTTGTGTAGTCCATTTCTTCAGCTCCAAACGGATCTCTAGCTTTTCCCATGTAAGAAAATTTGAGGTCAAGCAAATGATCAAAAAGATATCTGGACATGTTAATTCTTCCAAAGTTACGAACTTGAGTGAGATCATAATGTCTGCGTCAAGTGCCACAATCTGTAGGATGGCTTTTGGGAGAAAATATGAAGAGGAAGGAGCAGAAAGAAGCAAGTTCCATGGGCTGCTTAATGAGTCACAGGCCATGTTCCTTTCCTTCTTTGTTTCAGATTATATTCCTTTCATGGGGTGGATTGATAAACTCACTGGGTTATTTTCTCGTCTTGAAAACACTTACAAGGCATTGGATGTGTTTTTCCAACAAGTCATTGAAGAGCACCTTAATCCTAATAGGCAGAAAGAAACCCAAGACGAGGATGATATAGTTGATGTGTTACTTCAGCTAAAGAACCAGGGTCGCCTGTCTATTGACCTCACCAATGATCACATCAAAGCTGTCATCATGGTATATATATGTTCTCATGTTTTTCCTTCTTCTTTTTTTCTTTTTATAACTCATATGTTCAGAACTTCATAAATCGTTAAAATTGTTATTAGACTACAGAATTCTAGCCTTCACTAGAAATAATTACAGAATGGATTAGCGGGGTCAAAGTATTAGAATTAGATGGCTTTACCTATGACTCGTATAAAACACTGAAATTCAACTTGCATGACTCGTATCGTATGAGCTTGACTAACACACCTTTAACTTTTACATTACACCACCATCAAGGCATCAATCCTTAGTCATCTGATATCTAAGAAAACATTTCATCATCATCATCCATATTTAGAGTGGTGTGACTTTGATGATATTTTATTCAAAATCAAGTTTCAAGTAAACAGCAAAAAAAGAAAATAAAGGAAATTTCCCTGATATATACAAGCTTATTTATAATTGCTCGTTGTTGAAAAATCACAGGACATACTTGTAGCAGCAACTGATACTAGTGCAGCCACGTCAGTTTGGGTAATGACTGGATTGATGAAGAACCCAAGAGTGATGAAAAAAGCTCAAGAGGAAGTTAGGAGTCTCTATGGCAGCAAGAAAGAGTTTATAGATGAAGATGATATTCAAAAGCTTGAATATCTGAAGGCAGTGATAAAAGAGACACTGAGGTTTTATGCACCAGCACCACTAGTACCAAGAGAAACCAATAAAAGTTTCATTATAGATGGGTATGAAATACAACCCAAGACATTAGTGTATGTGAATGTTTGGGCCATTCAGAGGGACCCTCAAGCTTGGAAAGACCCTGAAGAGTTTTACCCTGAGAGATTCTTAAACAATGATATTGATTTTAAGGGACAACATTTTGAGCTAATTCCATTCGGTGCAGGGCGTAGAATTTGCCCAGGCATACCATTGGGAATTGCCACAGTTGAGCTTATAACTGCAAACCTTCTTAATTTATTTGATTGGGAAATGCCTGCCGGGTTGAACAGGGAAGACATAGACACTGATGGGCTTCCAGGACTTGCCCGACACAAGAAGAATCATCTTTGCCTTGTTGCCAAGAACTATATGTGAATGAATGTCATAAGGGATTATAATAATATACTAAATAATTTGAGTTTCGCCTTAAGAAGAATCATCTTTGCCTTGTTGCCAAGAACTATATGTGAATGTCATAAGGGATTATAATATACCCTAAATAATTTGAGTTTCGCGTTTTGAATTTGCTAAATGTATTTTTGCCTGAGAGTTTGAAACTTGTTGAGATATACAGTCCTACATTAGTTGTATGTGCACATAATGTGGAGTTTATAAGGTCTTGGGCACTTTCACTTTTTGAGCTAGCTTTTGGAGTGTTGTATCCCAAGGTTCTTTACATGATATCAAAGCCTCGCCGCCCCCACTTTCTCTTGTGGCGTTTCTTAGCACATATATAGTCTCACATTGGTTGTATGTGCAACTAATATGGAGTTTATAAGATCTTGGGCATTACCACTCTTTGAGCTAGCTTTTGAGGTGGTGTATCTCAAGTTTTTTTTACAAAACTATTACATTTAGATTTTAGAGTAATCATGTTCTCTCTCTAAATTGATAGAACAAAATTGTGTATCTAAGCTACAATTAACCAGAAAACCAGATTTCCAGAATTAAGAGAGAATGAAGTAGATGAATAGAAGAAGAAATATCAAAAGTAGATCTGTAAATGATGATTCCTGCGCCACTTTACACATCTCAAGTTTAAACAAAACAAAACACTTTACACATTTAGATTTTAGTGCTCATGTCATGTCACGTGGTTCCTTCCCACATCCCATTTGTTGCAACTCCTTCCACGTCATCTCCTCTTATCATATTTCAACTTGCACACACAAAATTTGTCATTTTTCACACTAAAATCATATAAAATCATTTCAACACTATTTCTACACGTGCGTACAACAATTTATTGCACCTTTCAACTCAATCAATATTGTTTTCTCAACAAAAATACACTTTTCAGCTATATTTTCATCTTTCAATGCATCATATTATATAACTGAAATCAGCCCAACACCTGTCCAAGAGAAATTATGTTGCATATTTGTAATTATAAAAATAACTTTATAAATTTGAGCGTGAGTTACATTACATCAATAAATGTATTAATTTAGGGAAAAAAATGTATGTGATGGCTTACGTGTCAAGTAGACAAGAAAAAATAATATATAATAAGCGGGAAAGTGACCAAAATGCCACGCTTTGGCAAAATAATTATCAGAATGCCACGCGAACAGTAAAATTTCCCAAACTGCCACGCGGCATAATTCGCTACACAGTGTAGCGAATTATGTATGCAAGTAATTCGCTACACAGTGTAGCAAAATATGCCACGTCAGAACGCACAGAACCAAAAATGCCACATGTCAAATTTTGCAAAATTCGCTACATTTGGTTCTGACGTGGCATATTTCGCTACACTGTGTAGCGAATTACTTGCATATATAATTCGCTATATTGTGTAGCGAATTATGCCGCGTGGCATTTTGGCAAAATTTACTGTTGGCGTAGCAGTTTGGTAATTTTTTTGTCCAAACGTGACAAAATGGTCACTCTCCCATAATAAGCCTTGTAGGCGTGATACACTTGCTAAGGATCTTGTCGCAAATTTAAATTTTGAAAAGATTTTTCGGGATTAGAAGTCTCAGTGAAGGATTAATCTCACCTTACTTCCAGTGTAATATAATTTTTGTTTATATACTAAAAAAAAAAATATAACTTTTGTTTCAATTAACAAGAGATAGTTGAATGAAAATAACTCTTGAGTATGGGTGATAGAACATATCCGCGGGTCGAATTTGTGTCATGTCAAAGTCTAATTTGCAAGTCAAATTGTCCAATTTGAACTATAAGATTTTAGTCATGGATCAAAAATTGAAATCCAGATACATTTCATGAATATGTTGACCCATATAAATTAAAATTTTGATTTTTTTAGAAAAATTAAAAATAAAAGAAAAAAAATTAAATAAAATATAGAGGTTAACTCATGGACCGCAAGAGATTATGTCAAAATAATCAAAAAAATTAATTTTTTTATTTTCTTACAAGAAAAAAAATTAAGTTGACACACAGGTTAACCTATGATATGACATAATATTAATTCGTGTTATTATTATTATTATTATTATTGGTAATATAATTTGTGTTATTTATCTAAACTCATACATGGTCGATTTTATTCCATGGCACGACATGACCCGTCTTTTAAAATATCGTGTGACGAGTCGGTACATGGATACTGAATTAGATGGTTACTCTGTGAAAGTGGCCTCCCATTTCCCAAGTATTGCATCAATCCACCTTACATGTTATTTTTTTAAAATGACAGGTTGCACATGTTGACCCATATAAATTAAAAAATTTGATTATTTTAAAAAAATTAAAAATAAAAGAAAAAAACTAAATAAAATATACAAGTTAACTCATGAATCACAACAGATTATGTCTAAATAATAAAAAAAATTAATTTAATTTATTTTTTTTGCAAAAAAGAATTTCAAGTTGACACACAGTCAACCTATGATATGACACAACATTAATTCCTGTTATTATTATTATTTTTTGGTCACATTAATTCCTGTTATTATTATTATTATTTATCTAAACTCACACAGGGTCCTATTTATTTCATGGGATGACATGACCCGTATTATTATTTTAAAATATTGTGTGACGGGCCAGTACATTGATACTGAATTAGATGGTTACTGCTGTGAAAGTGGCCTCCCATGTCCCAAGTATTGCATCAGTCCACCTTACATGTTATTATTAGAATAGATGAAAGCATCTATTTTCCCAGTGAATTACAGGTTAAAAAAAAAAAGTTGGATTTTTCAGTGGAAATTTTAATTGTTGCCTGTAATGGAAAATTTACTGTTAGCACTGAGCAGGAGGGTCCACCCCATGTATAAATGTCCCACACTTGCAACAAAACAGGGTGGCTCAAACCCAGAGGTGAAGAAAGCACGCCTTCGTTTGGTTGATTAGGGTCTCAATCTTATTATATAGCAATGTAGCAAAAACTGGCAACAAAGTCTAGGGGTAGAAAAATAGACAGGAAAAGGAAAAGGGATAGACATCATCACCACGCCCATGTAAAACAATCTCTGAAGCATCTAAAGCCAAAAAAACATTTCCATTGGTCTTTTTTTTTTTTATTGGAATTTTTCTGTCACATGTGCAGTCTTTTAAGACAGACTGCCATTCTATGCAAGCAGCCACAGTGTAACATGAAACAATTGATTGAAGTTAAGATATATACATGTATAAATAAAGAATAAACCCTCTCAAGTGAGATGAGGTTATGTGAGGATATCTGAGTCATATCCAATACACATCAACTGTTTCACCACCCTTAATATTAATGTATTATCACATAATATCACTGTTGAATTGTATGATACTTTCATTATTTCATATAATCTAATACGATGTAAGAGAATCCATTTTATTTTATTTTTGGATTCTATGACTCTAATTATCTTTTTGGAGCGAGTGAGGTTTCCCATATATCTCCATGACCCGATCAAAAAAAGGAACCTAGCAGTACAAGTATTAGACTAATCTCAACTTGAGCGTCATTATGACAATTATCCCCTCTAACATGAAAGGTCTTCTCCGAAATTTAGTTGGTTGAACTGATAATGTCCAACTAATAAAAGCTGGTGTTTCTCTCTACGGATGAACAGTAGAGATGTCTGATAATGATGAATCAGCTAGTATCTCCAGCCAACAATTCGATGAGTAATAATAAAACGTTGTGTCTAAGTCATCTACGAAGTCAAAAAGAGAGGATGGATGTGCTCTAGGCACAAAATATGTATAAGGAGGAGATGTTCCCCTCATTCACAATGGGGCCATATATAGATGAAGTATACGGAGGTTGTGCACATAATGAGTGGTTTTGCAAGTGACTATTGGTGCAATAGGATGCTTAGTGGGTAGTTATGAGTAATGAAACCCCTGCTCTTTAGATAATTTGTTTTGTCAGCACCGAGACTCATATTATTAATTAGGGTAAATATCTTTTTGGGTCCCTAACAAAAAAACACGGTTCCCAATTTAGTTTCTTACAAAAATAAATTAGTCCCTAACAAATTTAAAGTGGATCCATTTTAGTCTTTTTGAGGGACTAATATGAGTCTTTTTTTGAATTTGTGAGGGACCACAATTTCAACTAAAATGGGTCAACTTTGAATTTGTTAGAGACTAACTAATTAATTTATTTTTGTAAAGGACTAAAGTGGGGACCTTTTTTTTGTTAAGGATCAAAAATGATATTTACTCTATCAATTAACCATAACGATGTAAAATTCATTTTTAAATTAACTAGTGTCAGAGCAAATTTCAAAATGTTCACTGCTAAGAGTGATCATGAGGGCCCTCCAATAGACACTAATGCTTGTGTTGTGTGTACTGACACATATAGAAGAGAGATATAGAAGAAACAGAGTTATATATGGACTTGCGCTCCCTAAAAATCCTACGTATTGGGTACGTGATTATTTTAGGAGGGGTGACTCAGGTCATTGGAGAGAGAGATCTATATAAGTGAGAGTGTCTTGTGTGTAGAGTGGTCCAAATTTGCTGCTAATACCCACTGCAGCACTGTGGTGTAAGGATTCATAGATCGCTCGCTGCTTTGCATTAGGTGGTTACAGAAAAGGGAACATAAAGAGCAGCCATGGCATGACCCATCTGCCAACCCCATTAAACAATTTTAACTAATTAGGGTACTAGTTGTTCTAGCTGGGCATCATTCTGTCATTCATGCATTGTGTCACACCATTTCTCTCTCTCTCTCTCTAATTAATTAATAGTGGTTAGATGAAAAGGACGCTGACTTTTATTGTTTGGTAAAAGATTCAAGAGTTGTAATAATGATATATGACATGCTGCATGTGAAACGAGGTAAAAAGAAAACACGACAAGTTTAAAACTTAGATCTGGAGGGTGAATTATGTTTTGTAGCAGTGACTCGTGAGTGTCCAGTTACACTGTTTTGATAGAAGAGCAAATGCAAAGTCATGCCATAT